GAGTGTGACCCTATCTCAAAAAAAAAAAGGATTTAGTACTCTTAACACCAGTGAATGGTTTTCCTACACACATTATGCTATTCCCACTTTGCCTAACACTTCACTTGTTGAGACATTAAACTTAACCATTATGACTGTATTCAACCAGGCCAAAATATAAAAGAAAACTAGACAGCATGTGTAGCAAAGGCCCTTTATCCAAAATATAACTATATCGGCAGTACACTGTAAATAACTTTTACATTACACTGGAAATATGAGTTTTAACATATTGACAAGTAGAAATGGTAAAGAACTATTCCAATAAATTTTATGTCAGTATGGATGGTGACTATAGTGACAACCAATGGTTTTGGTGAACATCCTCCTTCTGTATAGAGACACACTTTATTAATCTATAAGCCGAATGTCAATGTGTTATGTTGACTGCATATTAACTGATACTTGCATATATTGGGTTAAATAAAATATATTATTGACATGAAAAAACAAAGCAAATATTCTTAACATTGTAATCTGATACGAAGGTTGTACCAATATTTTTTAAAATTGTCCACTTCTATGTATTAATTATGACAATAAATTAAAAAGCTTAAGTATAAAGCATTGAATCTGAAAATTGTAAAGTATACAGCATTGTAAAGTATAAAGTACATTTATAATCTTTATATCTAGGTTTTAAAAATATCTCTGCTACTCTCCATATGACATAAAACATTATGGTAGATCACTAAAATAATGGCCCCAATGAGTCACACTTCCCTGTGTCTACACCCTTTTGCAACATGATCTGTTGTTCTTCCACCAAAGGAGCCAGCCTTGAGAAAAAAGGCTTTGCAAAAACAACCAAGAAAACATGTTCTTCTAGTCTGCATGGTTTGACAACAGTCAAATGTTAATATCTTACATTTATATACACCTGCAGGTGATCTAAAACTGGTATCTTGAAATTGGTTTATTTCTGCGTTACAGATACACAAATACTTAAAAACTTTAAAACTTCAAATAAACTAATTAGGCCAAGAGCCTATTTGTGGAGTCCTCTAATCTTTTGATACATTACATGAAAAGCAGTGTTTCTTAGTACTTTTTTTTTTTTTTTTGAGACAGGATCTCACTCTGTTGCCTAAGCTGGAGTGCAGTGGCGCCATCACAACTCACTGCAACCTTGACCTCCTGGGCTCAAGCAAATCTCTCACCTCAGCCTCCAAGGTAGCTGGCACTACAGGCATGCAACCACAACGCCTGGCTAATTTTTGTATTTCTTGTAGAGATCAGGTTTCACCACTTTGCTCAGGGGGGTCTCGACCCCCTGGGCTCAAGTGATCCACCCACCTGAGACTCTCAAAGTGCTGAGATTACAGGCGTTAGCCACCATGCCCAGCCAGTACTGATTCTGAAATTCAACTTTTTATAGTTTTCTTTTGCTCACAAAACAGAAGTGATTGTGTACACACTATTTCTACTTAAACCATACATCCCTGTTTGCTTAGCTAAAACATGTATTGTTCAACATTTGAGGTTATTGTTTGTACCTACCTGCATTGGATGTATTACTTATTTTTTAAAAAATGAAAGAACTGGGAAAAGCTACCAATAATTCACTTTACATAACCAGATAGACATATCCAGGAGATACTGCAAGTTCCACATCACCACAATACAACAAATATCACAAAAATTTTTGGTTTCCCAGTACATATAAAAAAAGTTATGTATACATTTATACTGTAGTCTATTAAGTGTGCAATAACATTATGTCAAAAAAAAAAAAAAAAAACTTATATACCTTAAATAAAAAGCACTTTGTTGGCTGGGCACAGTGGTTCACACCTGTAATCATAGCACTTTGGGAAGCAAGGCTCAGGAATTCGAGACCAGTCTGGGCAATGCGGTAAAATCTCATCTTACCAAAAATATAAAAAATTAGCTGAGCATGGGGATATGCACCTGTGGTCCCAGTACCTGGGAAACTGAGATGGGAGAATCGCTTGAGCCCAGGAGGTGGAGGTTGCAGTGGGCCAAGATCGTGCCACTGCATGCCAGGCTGGGTGACAGAGTAAGACCCTGCCCCCACCCCTTACAAAAAATACTTTATTGCTAAAAAATGCTAATGACCATCTCAACCTTCAGCAAGTAATAACCTTTTTGCCTTGATGTTCATGACTGCTTACTAATCAGGATGATGGTTGCTAAAATTGGTAGGGGTAGCTGCAGCAATTTCTAAAAATAAGATAACAATCAAGTTTGCCATACTGATTAACTCTTCCTTTCATGAAAGATTTCTCCATAGCAGGCAATGATGATTAATTGAGGTTTGATGGCATTTTACCAGTAGTAAAACTTCTATCAAAATTGGAGTCAATCCTCTCAAACCGTGCCATTGCTTTATCAACCAAGTTTACAGAACTTTTTAAATTCTCTGTAATCATTTAACAATACTCCCAGCATCTTCCCCAGGAGTAATTGCCATCTCCAGCAATCACTTCCTTTGCTTATCCATAAGAAGCAACTCCTCCTCCATTCAAGTTTTATCATGAGATTGCAGCAATTCAGTCATATCTTCAGAAACCAGTTCTAGTTCTCTTGCTGTTTCCATTACATCTGCAGTTACTTCCTCCATGGAAGTCTTGAACCCCTCAAAGTCATCCATGAGGACTGAAATCAACTTCTTCCAAACTCTTGTTAATGTAAATAGTTTGACCTCCTTCTATGAATCATAAATATTCTTAATAACATAGAATCTAGTTTGATGAATCTTTCCAGAAGGTTTTCAATTTGCTTTGCCCAGGTCTTTCAGAAGAATCGCTATCTATGGTAGCTATAAGCCTTACAAAATATATTTCTTAAATAATAAGACCAGAGTCAAAATTACTCTTGATCCACAGGCTATGGAATGAATATCATGTTAACGGCATGAAAACAACGTGCATCTTCCTGTACATCTTCATCAAAGGTGTAGGGTGACCAGGAGCATTGTCCGTGAGTGCTAATATTTTGAGAGGAGTCTTTTCTGGGCAGTAGGTCTCCACAGACTTAAAATATTTAGTAAACCATGCCGTAAACAGATGTACTGTCATTAGGCTTTATTGTTTCATTTATAGAGCATGAGCAGTGAAGATTTAGCATAATTCTTAAGGCACTTTGGATTTTCAGAATGGTAGATGAGCATTATCTTCAACTTAAAAAGTCACCAGGTACATTAGCCCCTAATGAGAGAGTCAGCATCTTGCCCTCTCACCCAGGCTGAAGTGCAATGACCTGATCTTGGCTCACTGCAACCTCTGCCTCCCAGGTTCAGGCAATTCTCCTGCCTCAGACTCCTGAGTAGCTGAGATTACAGGCACACACCATCACGCCCGGCTAATATTTTTGTATCTTTAGTAGAGATGGGATTTCACCATGTTGGCCAGGCTGGTCTCAATCTAATGACCTCATGATCCGCCCACCTCAGCCTCCAAAAGAGCTGGGATTACAGGCATGAGCCACCGTGCCCGGCCGCCTTTTGAAGTTTTGAAGCAAGGCATTGACTTCTCTCTAGCTATGTAAGTCCTAGATGGCATCTTCGTCCAAGAGAAGGTATTTCGTCTACATTGAAAATCTGTTTAGTGTAGCCACCTTCATCAATTAATTGAGCTAGATATGGATAACTTGCTCTAGTTTCTAGGTCAGCACTTGCTGTTTCACCTTGCACTTTTATGTTATGGAGATGGCTTCTCTTACACTTCATGAACCAACCTCTGCTAGCTTCAAATTTTTCTTCTGCAGCTTTCTCAAGTCTCTCAGCATTTACAGAATTGAAGAGAGTTAGGGCCTTGCTTTTCATTTAAGGGAATGTTGTCACTGGTTTGATCTGCTATCTGGACCACTCAAACTTTATAACAACAATAAGGCTATTTCACTTTCTTGTCATTCCTGTGTTCACTGGAGTAGCACTTTTAATTTCCTGGAGACTTTTCCTTTCAATTCACAACTTGGCTGTTTTGCAAAACAGGCTTAGCTTTCAGGCCTCATCTTGGCTTTTGACACGCCTTCTTCACAATGCTTAATTATTTCTAGCTTTTGATTTAAAGTAGAGTTACGGGACTCTTCCTTTCACTTGAACATTTACAGGTCATTGTAGGGCTATTAATTGGCCTAACTTCAATATTGTTGTGTCTCAAGGATTAGGATAAGGGAAGGAAAAGGGGGAACTGGTCGGTGGAGGACCCAGAACACACACAACATTTACTAACTAAGTTCACCATCTTAAATGGGTGCACTTCTTGGTACCCGAAAAACAATTACAATAGTAACATCAAAGAACAGTGATGACAGATCACAATGCTAAAATAATAATGAAAACTTGTGAAATATTTGGAGAATTACCAAAATATGACACAGAGACACGAAGTGAGCACGTTATTGAAAAAATGGCACCAAAGCTTTGCTTAATGCAAGACTGCCACAAACCTTCAATTTGTTAAAACACACACACACACACACACACACAATATTACTATGAAGTACAATAAAGTAATGCATGATAAAATGGCATATGTCTGTATATAAAACAAATTGTCCTTGCATCAATAAATTAACATGAATTAAATAAAGGTGACAAAAAAAGTTTTAAGCCCTCTTTATGCCTCATTATGCCTCACATAAATGCTCCCTTCAAAAAAGCATGAGTCTTCAAAGCATCCATATTAAACTAAGTGCTCTTTTACATTGCTTATAAAAATTACCATCAATGATAAGTAAAATCATTCAAAAGTTATAATTAACTATTCATTTATAAATATCAAGCTACTAATCTCACAAAATTGAGAAATCTTTAAAATAAGTATATTTTTATTACTTATTTTAATTTATTGGAATAAATAAATCTTATTTCTTATTTAAATCTTACCTTTTAGAGTACTATTTCTCTGAAATTACAACATCAAGAAAAAAGAAACTTATGTGATGATCCCACAGCCAAACCCATGCTAACAAACAAGAAAATTCACTTTTCATACCTTAAGATAGCAGTGTACATAACAATAATGAAGCAGGTTATCAGAAGGCTGAGTAAGGCTGCTGACCACATGCACCAACTGTTCAGCATACATCGGCACTGAATGTTCCACATTAATTTTATCCACCAATATTCGAATGGATGGCAAAGGCCGAAGAGACTGGAAGTTTGTAGTGTTCATGAAGTTACTTGAGTTCTAGAAAATAAAAGTGTTCGCTTTATATTTTAAAAGTGGAGCAGTGACTGAGTTGCAATTCCCTCTATACACGCTTCAGATCTGCACATTTGCAGTGATATCCAATCAATCTAGAAATGATGCCTTTCTACAGAACTCTCTTGCCATAACCAAATAACAAATGTCTTTCTATATATATTAAATATGTCCCAGACTTCAAAGAATGCATATTTTTTGCAAAATTATCATTGCCCTTTCAGTTCAAGTTTTTTTTCTTTTTCAGTCAACTAGAATAGTATCACTACATGCCTCAGTATGATGAAGATATTGTATTAAGCTTAATTATTCCAAAATGTATCTATATATCCAAGACTCAGCATATTTTATTTTAATCTCTTTTATTCACATTTAGCTGACTAAGGAACTAAATGGACTATACCACACTATGTCAAAAACATTCACCATAAGCAATGTTTGCAGGAAAGAAAAATTCCTGATCTGTACCATATCTACTAACAATACACATGTTAAGGGCTCACAAAGTCCTAAGAATCTTGAGGATGGCACAGTATTCTCAGTTTTACAGAATCTTTCTGAGCTTTCAAATAAATACAGGTAAGTTTCAAGATGTCCAGTGTATGTACACTGAGTGGCAAATGACCTGTCCTAGAACTCACTCACTCACTCCCTTAAAATGCTCTACCTGTGGTTCTCAATGAGGAACACCATGACTTTCCATCCAGAAGAATAAGAAAAAATGCAAGAAGAGCAGTTTCATTGCTTTGTCTGTCTTTCATTGTCACAGTAATATTGGCCTTTAGCAGGTATTGGCCAAAGATGGTAAATGCTACATAATAATTCTCCAATCCAAAAAACCAAAAGTGCCATTACTGAGAATCACTGTGCTTAAAACTAAGTTGAAAATACAATCCTGATTTTTTACTCATTACCAATAATTTTAAAACCACCATTTATTTAGGAATTACGTTGCTTTTTTAAGTGACTTTGAGATTACTAAAAATAACACAGAATAAAGCACACAAATCTGAAGGTTAGAGCTGAATGAATTTTTATATCTGTAACCACCACCCATCTGAAGCACCCTACAAGACTGTGCCATGTCCCTTTCAAGGCAATACTAAATCCTCAACAGACGTAGCTAATCACTTCAATCGCCACAGATTAGTTTTCTCTTTTCTTGAACTTCATATAAATGAAATCACATGGTATATAATTTTTCACTCAAGATTACACCTGTGAGAATTATCTGTGTTGTTCTTTCTTTCAGTTCACACTTTTATCATTACGAAGTGGCTCTCTTTATTTCTAGTAATACTTCTTACCTTAAAATCAACTTTATCTCTTAGTAAAACAGCCATGCTATCTTTCTTTTGGTTAGCATTTAAATGGTATATTTTTTCCATCCTTTTCCTTCAAACCTGTATCCTTACATTTTCCAGTTTCACAATTTAATTTGGTGCTTTTTTTAATGGATTGAGGTCTCTCTGGAAATCTTCCACCTTTTTGCCTTTTTCCTTAAGCAATTAACCATAAAGTCCATGTCTAACAACTCTAATACCTCAATCATCTCTAAGTCTATTTATATTACTGATTTTTTATTATATTTTATTATAAAATATATTTTATATATTTTATTATATTTAATTCAATTGGTTCTATTTTTAGTATACCTCATAATTTTGTATCAAGCAGATAACATCATGGATAAAAAATTATAACGGCTTTGATAATGCTATCTTCCCCTAAAGTAAGTTAACTATTCTTTGGCAAGCAAACAGAATACAATCATCATGGTCCTATTCAGGACTGGAATTAGGCTTTCTTAGACTAATCTATTTCAATCTGTATTTATTCCTACGGTGTGGCCCTTATAAGGTCTCAAAGGAAGGCCCAGGTGCTAACGTGGCAGTGCCTGAACTCTAATTGCAGATACACAGTACCATGCAAATAGTCAAATTTATACTTTGCTTTCTGCTGGGTTTCCTGAAGTCTTGCATTACACACGGGCAGCTTAGGAACTAGCCAACAATCTAAATGAAATTTTATACAAATTTGTGGGCTGCCGTCTGAGTAAGGCCTCCTTGTTAGCATTTTTCCCTTTGACAGGCATACTGGAAGACCAGACATGGCTAACAAAAGAATCTCTAAGCTTGAAGGTATCTCAGTAGAAATTGCCAAAACTGAAAAGCAAACCCAAAAAACCCCAGAATATTTAAGAACTGTGGGACAACTACAAAAGATGTAACATACACGTAATAAGAATTCCACAAGAGAAGAAAAGAGAGAAAGAAACGGAAGAAACATCTGAAACAATAATGACTGAGAGTTTCCTCAAATTAATGTCAGACACCAAACCAGAAACCCAGGAAACTCAGAGAACACCAAGCAGGATAAATGAAAAAAAAAAAAAAAAATCCCACACACAGACACATCATTTTCAAATCATAGAAATCAAAGATAAAGTCCCCCAAAAAAATTCACAGAAAAAAATACATCTTACTTATAGAGGAGTAATGATATGAATTACACTTGACCGCCACTCAAAAATGACGTAAGCAAGAAGAGAGTAAAATAAGGTATTTTAAGAGGAAAAAAACCTACAAACCTAGAATTCCATACTCCATGAAATTATCCTTCAAAAGGAGAAAAAAAGACTTTCTCAGACAAAAAAAAAAAAAAAATTCAGAGAATTTGTTTCCAGTATATCTGCCTTATTAGAAGTGTTAAAAAAATTCTTCAGAGAGAAGAAAAATGATAAAGGTCAGAATTTCACATCTACATTAAAAAAAAACAGCATCAGAAAAGGCATAAGGTAAAAAAAAAGACTTTTAATTTTTACTATTCTTAATTGATCTAATAAATTTGGTCAAAATAATAACAGTAATATGTATTTAATTATGTATGATTGTGTGTAGCAGGCTTATGAATGCTTACATAAAAGTAAAATGAATTACAGCAATGATACAAGAAACAGGATGGCAGAATTAGTATTTCTTTTACTATAAGAAACTCTGACTACCTGTAAAGTGGTATGGTGTTATTTGAAAGTGGACTTGAATTAGCTGTAAAAATATAATGCAAATTCTAGGACAAACACTAAAAAGAAGTATAACAGGTAGGTTAATAGAGGAGAGAAAATCAAATAATATGAAATGCTCAATTAAAACCACAAAAGGCCAAAAAAGAGTGGAAGATAAAATCAGGAACAAATAACAAGGGCAAAAACTAGAAAATGGCAAGAAGTATGGTTGATATTAGTCCAATTATATCAATAATAACTTCTTATCAATGGTCTAAATGCATCAATTAAAAGACAGATTGTCAAGGCAGCTAAAGATACAAGACCCAACTATATATTGTCTACGAAAAAAAACCTACTTTTTAAAAAAAATTTTCTTATGTACTTATTTGAGACAGGGTCTCACTCTGTCACCCAGGCTGGAGTGCAGTGGTGCGATCATGGCTTACTGCAGCCTCAACCTCCAGGGCTCAGGTGATCCTCTCAACTCAGCCTCCCAAGTAGCTGGAACTACAGACACACACCAGCATGCCTAGCTAATTTTTGTATTTTTTTATAGAGACAGGGCTTCACCCAAGTTGGTCTCAAACTTCTGGGCTCAAGCGATCAGTCCACTTCTGCCTCCCAAAGCGCTGGGATTATAAGCGTGAGCCACCACACCCAGTCAAAACCCACTTTAAATATGAAGACATGTGTAGATTAAAAGAAAATAGAGAAACACATACCATACTAAAACTAATCAAAAGGGAGTGGAATGGCTATATTAATTTCAGACAGAACAAAAATCAGACCAGGGAAAGCAATCAGAGATAAAGAAGGGATTAAGTAATGATAAAGGTGTCAATTCTGTAAAAAGACATCGGTCCCTAACATGGATGTGCCTAAAGACACAGTGTCAAAACACATAAAGCAAAGAGTGATAAAATTTCAGGGAAAAAACTCGACAAACCCACTATTTTAGTTGGAGACTTCAATATCCCTCTATCAGATATAATCAGTTCCAACAGACAGAAAATCAATAAGGACATAATTGAATTTATAATCAACCAGATATAATACACATCAGTGGACTGTTTCATACAGCAACAACAGAGTACACATTCTTCTAAAGCTTACATAGAATAGTCACCAACACAGACACATTCTAAGCCATAAAACACACCTAAACAAATTTAAAAGAAATCATACAGGCCGGGCGCGGTGGCTCAAGCCTGTAATCCCAGCACTTTGGGAGGCCGAGACGGGCGGATCACGAGGTCAGGAGATCGAGACCATCCTGGCCAACACAGTAAAACCCCGTCTCTACTAAAAAATACAAAAAACTAGGCGGGCGAGGTGGCGGGCGCCTGTAGTCCCAGCTACTCGGGAGGCTGAGGCAGGAGAATGGCGTGAACCCGGGAGGCGGAGCTTGCAGTGAGCTGAGATCCGGCCATGGCACTCCAGCCTGGGAGACAGAGCGAGACTCCGTCTCAAAAAAAAAAAAAAAAAAAAAGAAAAAAAAAAAAAAGAAATCATACAATGTCTGCTATCAGACCATAATGGAATTAAACTAAAAATCAGTAACATAATTAAAAAATGTCAAAATATTTGGAGATTTAAAAACATACTTCTAAAGAACACAAGTCAAAGAAAAAATCTCAAGAGAAATAAAAAATACTTTGAATTAAATGAAAACAAAAATCCAACTTATCAAAATTTGTAGCGTGTACTGAAAGCAATGCTTAGAGGGAAGTTTATAGTATTGAGTTCATATATTACAAAAAAGGAAAATCTAAAATCAATCACCTAAGCTTACACTTTAGGAAATTAAATAAATCCAAAATAAGAAGAAAAGAATTAAAATCAAAACAGAAATCAATGAAATTGAAAACAGAAAATCAACAGAGAAACAAAACCAAAAGCTGGATCAATAAAAATCAGTATAAGCCTCTCTAGCCAGGTTGAGAAAAAGAGTAAGAGGATACAAATCCTAATGTTAGAAATGAAAGAGGAACATTGTTACAAATTCCAAAGACACTAAAATGATAATTTTTAAAATACTAAAGACAGGCCAGCTGCGGTAGCCCACGCCTATAATCGCAGCACTTTGGGACGCCAAGGTGAGCAGATCACCTGAGGTTGGGAGTTCAAGACCAGCCTGACCAACACAGAGAAACCCCATCTCTACTAAAAATACAAAATTAGCCAGGCATAGCGGCGCATGCCTGTAATCCCAACTACTCAGTAGGCTGAGGAAGGAGAATCGCTTGAACCCAGGAGGCAGAGGTTGCTGTGAGCCGAGATCATGCCATTGCACTCCAGCCTGGGCAACAAAAATGAAATTCCGTCTCAAAAAAAAAAAGAAAGAAATACTATAAACTCTATGCCTACAAATTTGATAACCTAGATGAGATGGACCAATTCTTAAAAGATACAAGCTGATGACCTTGGGTATAGTGATGACTTTTAGATATAACACCAGAGGCACAATCTATAAAACAAAGAATTGATAAGCAGGACTTCACCAAAAATTCAAAATTTCTGCTCTGCAAAATACAAGAAAATTAAAAGACAAGCCACAGATTGGGGGAAAATATTTGTAAAAGACCTATCTGATAAAGGACTGTTACCCAAAATGTACAAGGAAACCTTAAAATTCAATATTAAGAAAACAAACAACTCTTAAAAAATGGGGAATAGATCTGAAGAGATACCTCACCAAAGAAGATATACAGATGGCAAATAAGCATATGAAATGATGTTCCACACCATATGTCATCAAGGAAATAAAACTAAAAACAACGAGACACCATTACACATGTCTTAGAATGACAAAGAACCGAAGCACTAACAACATCAAATGTTGGTAGGGCTGTGGAGAAACAGGAACTCTTATTCACTCCTGGCAGGAATGCAAAATCATACTGCCACTTTGGAAGACAATTTGGCAGCTTCTTACAAAACTAAACATACTTTTAGCATACAGTCCATCAATCACACTCCTTAGTATTTACCCAAAGGAGTTGAAAACATGCCCACACCAAAACTTGCACATGGATGTATATGCCTGTTTTACTCACAACTCTCAAAACTTGAAAGCAACCAAGATGTCCTTCAGTAGGTGAATGGATAAGCAAATTGTAGTACATCCATAATGGAGTATTAGTAAGTGCAAAGAAGAAATCAGCTATCAAGTCATGAAAAGCCAAAGAGGAACCTTAAATCCATATTACTAAGTAAAAGAAGCCAATGTGAAAAGGCTACATACTATATGATTCCAAGTATATGACAGTCTAGAAAAGGCAAAACTGTGAGGAAAGTAAAAAGATCAGTGGTTGCCAGTGGTTACGGAGAAGAGATGAATAGGCAGAGCACAAAGGATTTTTTGGGAATTGAAACTACTCTATGTGATATTGCCATAGTAGATAATTATACATGAGTTAACACTCATAGAACATAAAACACCAAGAGTGAACCCTAATATAAACTGTGGACTCTGGGTGATAATGATGTGTCAATATAGGTTCATCAATTATAACAAATATACTATTCTGTTGAGGGATGTTGACAATGGGGGAAGCTATGTATGTGGGGGGGTGAGTTTATGAAAAATCTCTGTACCACTTTCACTCTGCTTTGTGAATCTAAAACTACTCTAAAAAATAGTATCTATTTAAAAAAATCAGATGATAGCAAAAACAGAAATGATAAAATGCAGACATATTTTAATTGTCTCCAGTGAAATTTTCTCCACATGATCTCTTAATCATAATACACTGCCATACTTAATTATGAGTGGCCAATAGGGAGCAAAAATAAAGTTAATGCATATAGTTAATTCCCTCACATAACTTCTTCTTTAAAGTTAGGACACTTTTTATTTCTATGGTCATCACTATCAGCGGACACCAACCTTTTTGGCATCAAGGATTAGTTTCATGGAGGACAATTTTTCCACAGACAGGAGAAGAGGTATGGTTTCAGAATGAAATTGTTCCACCTCAGGTCATTAGGTATTAGATTCTCATAAGGAGTGCCAACCTAGATCCCTTGCATGTACAGTTCACAGTAGAGTTTGTGCTCCTATGAGAATTGAATGCCGTCGCTGATCTCACAGGAGGCACAGCTCAGGTGGTAATGCTCACTCACCCGCCACTCACCACCTCCTCTGAAACTCGGTTCCTAACAGGCAACTAACCAGTATTGGTCCACATCTCAGGAGTTGGGGACCCTGATCATTATACGAACATCAAAAGAAATATATCCCAAAAAAGACAGATAGGCCGGGTGTGGTGGCTCACGCCTGTAATCCCAGCACTTTGGAAGGCTGAGGCGGGTGGATCGCCTGAGGTCAGGAGTTCAAGACCTGCCTGACCAATATGGTGAAACCCTGTCTCTACTAAAAATATAAAAATTAGTCGGGCGTTGTGGCATGCGCCCATAGTCCAAGCTACTCAGGAGTCTGAGACAGGAGAGTTGCATGAATCCAGGAGGCGTAGGTTGCAGTGAGCCGAGATTTCACCACTGCACTCCAGCCTAGGCAACAGAGCAAGAGTCCGTCTCAAAAAGCAAACAAACAAATAAGACCTTGTGTGTATAAGTTAAATTCAGAAAGCAATACATTGTACATGGACCATGAACAAATATTAAGCATTCTCAACAATTATAGCAGACATCACTCAGTTCCTAATACATGCAAAATAGTTTACATACATTATTTCAATGAATATTTAAAATAATCCTAGGAGCTAAGTACTGTGGTGGGACTGGTCTGTACCAGCATCCTGATAATGTTATACAAATCCATGCCATGAAGGCAATACTCAACCACAGCAGATCTTGGTAGAATATCCTGTGATACCCTAAAAACAGAGGATAATATGTGGTCTTGTGAGGAGCTGCTAAAAGAGCATTTCTCATTCACCTTCCCATCTTGAGAGAGGCTGTCATGAAACAGTGTCTCATCAGCATTCCTCATTCAGCTGAGTTATGGGCTTTCGACATATGCTAAGCTACACCACTGCTTAGCTGCAGTATGAAACTGAATTGTTGCCAACAGGGTGCCCCACGATATACCAATAGAAGTCATTTGGCCCTTTGGTTACAGATTGTCCTATGGAACAAGGGACAGGGGAGCTTGCACCATTACTGACTTTGCTTCTGCTGTCTATGTAAATAATAAACTGTCTGAATCTAGGCAGGCTGACAGTTTTACTGGCTAAAACTAAAATAGTCAGTCTGCTTGAAAAAATATAATTGTTCTCTTTCTGAGAAGAGGAAAACAAGGCTTAGAGATATAAAGTAATTGTCTGTGGCATTATAGCTGGTATACGGTCTGACTTCTACACCCATATTCTTCAACATTTCTTTATACACCCTCAAGCTTATTTTATTAAAAATATAAATTTAAAATTACATTTTAAAAATTAACATAGTTAATTTTTAGTTCATAGTTACATTGCTTTTACTTCACCATGGATAACTATACAAGCAGACACTTCTATCTTTTTCTTTTTTTTTTTTTTTTGAGACAGGGTCGCACTGTGACACCCAGGCTGAAGTGTAGTGGCGTGATCATAGTTCACTGCAGCCTCAAACTTCTGGGTTCAAGCAGTCCTCCCACCTCAGCCTCCTGGAAAGCTGGGAATACAGGCATGTGCCACCATGCCTAACTTTTTATTTTATTTTATTTTATTTTAGAGACAAGGTATTGATTGCTATGTGGCCTAGGCTGGTCTCAAACTCTTGGCCTCAAGTATGTATCCTACCCCAGCCTCCTGAATTTCCAGGATTACAGGCTCAAGCCACTGTGCCCAGCTGCAGATATTCTTTCAATAAATGACAAAAAAAAAAAAAAAATCCATATATGAGGGGAAAAAATATAGCAAATCACAAAATATACCTTTTCTCCCATAATGACAGGTAGCAAATGGTCCAGCAAGTTGAATTCAGCCATGGAAATTGTGCAGGTACATTTGAGGAGAGTAACACTTGTATGTCGAGTAGGAATATATTCCTCTAGAAAAGCTACCTCTTCAGGATTCAGTATTGTTTCATTTTCATCCTTAATATCTAAAATTAAAATGATAAAAACTTAATAAAGAATATTTTTAAATAATTAATATTCTTAAACAACTAAAAAATGAATTAGTTCTCCAAACTATAAGGTCAAATCCTGTTTTTCTTTTCAACAATGAAGCAGGTATAAAACAACAAGTTACCTTTAACAAATGTAAGTTACACTATTCTCGAATGTAAATGTATGTCTTCGTTATTTAAAAATTTACCAGTTTTTTATTTTAATATATCTTTAAGAAATCCCCATTTTCTTTCTTTAAAAGAATAACAGCTTTTGGTCATTAAAATATCATTGAGATAATGAAAAGGCAAGACACAGACTGAGATAAAATATTTGCCACAGATGGATGGGGAGGGGGAAGATCCAGCTCCATGAGGGACTTGTATCTACAGCATATTAAAAACAAAAATAAAAAACCTTCTAAAAATTGTTAAGAAATAGACAATCTCACACCTGTAATCCCAGCATTTTGGGAGGCTGAGGCAGGTGGATCATCTGAGGTCAGGAGTTCGAAACCAGCCTGGTCAATATGGTGAAACCCCATCCCTACCAAAAATACAAAAATTAGCCAGGGATGGTGGCAGACACCTGTAATCCCAGCTATTCAGGAGGCTGAGGCAGGAGAATTGCTTGAACCCAGGAAGCAGAGGTTGCAGGGAGCTGAGATCACACCATGGCACTCCAGCCTGAGCAACAGGAGAAAAACTGTCTCAAGGAAAAAAAAAAAAAAAAAATTGACAATCTTTATTCTGAGATTGTGTTTTTCTATAATTTCACATTAAAATATTATTTATCTTATAAAAACAGACAACAAATGGGCAAAAAAGACTTGAATAAGCAAAAGATGGTCTATCCAGTGGCCAAAAATGATACCTAAAGCTGGTGCTCAATGAGCCTAGGGTACTTGGGGTATAAATAAGTATAGTAAGCAGGGGAAGGCATCCTACTAGTGTAGATCGCACTATTGCACTCCAGCCTGGGCTTCCAGAGCAAGACTTCGTCTCAAAAAAAAAAAGAAGTATGTGCCTGCATTGAGGCACTCGACATCATTAGACATCAGGTAATTGCAAGTAAAGTCACAGTGTGATAGCACTACATACCTACTAGAATGGCTAAAATGAAAAAGACTGGAGAATACTAAGCATAGAGCAAGCACACAGAGCAAAGGTCAGCAAACTTCTTTAAAGTGAGCCACCATGCCCAGCCAGTGGTTTACTCCTGAGGTCAGAATAGTAACCAGAAGAGGACACAATGGAGACTTCTGAAGTGCTCGTAAGTTTCTGTTTCTTAAACAGTTAGTTACATAGATGTGGCTAAGTTTGCAAAATTCGGCTGGACGCAGTGGCTTACGCCTGTAATCCCAGTACTTTGGGAGGTCAAGGTGGACCTTGGACGGATCACCTGAGGTCAGAAGTTCAAGACAAGTCTGGCCAACATGGCGATTCCCCATCTCTACTAAAAAAAAGAAAATTAGCCAGGTAAGCACACCTGTAATCCCAGCTCCTCAGGAGGCTGAGGCAGGAGAATCATTTGAACCCAGGAGGCAGAGATTGCATGAGTCAATACTGTGCCACTGCACTTCAGCCTGGGCAACAGAGAAATCCCTCACAGACTGTGTAGGATAAAATGTTAGAATATTATCCAAACGTAGAAAGGAGTATGAAAATTTGCTAAGGTGGCATAAGAGAGACACGTCATATTGTAAGTTATACAAGAAGGAGAAAAAAACTGTTCGAACAATTCTTAAGTTTATTCAAAGAAATAAAATGGCTTAATTTGAATATTCCTTTTAAAATTTTTTCATTTCTCTATACATTTATAACCAACAGTAAGAGAATGTTTAATGTTTTGACAAGAATTTCTAAAGATTGTGCAACAACTTAATTCTTCACACTGATAAAGATCACTTTGCACGATCTTTTTATAGTCCCAAGCCATCACGGCAAGTGAGGACTGCACGTATATTAAAATAAAGTCAGTTAGAAGGTTCTTTATATACATCACATTTTTGAGATGACAGACTGCTTCAAAACTTCAAATACAGATTACACACACACACACACACACACAGAATACGTCTACTGTGGCAGAGATTGCTAATTGCCCAGGAGTATTCATTTTCTCCTTCTTTCGTTTAGCAATAAAACCCTCTGGATTCAAGTCAGGTATATGGACTCCTCCTAGAGATTACCTTGCAGTTAGGTGCAGGGACATGTCACTATTTTGGTCAATGGGATGAGAGTGCCATGTCCATAAAATGAGACTACAGACCAGGCGCGATGGTTCACGTCTGTAATCACTGCACTTTGGGAGGCCGAGGTGGGTGGATCACTTGAGGTCAGCAGTTCAAGAGCAGCCTGGCCAACATGGTGAAATCCCATCTGTACTAAAAATACAAAAATTAGCTGGGCATGGTGGCAGCCGCCTGTAATCCCAGCTACTCAGGAGGCTGAGGCAGGAGAATGTCTTGAACCCGGGAGACAGAGGTTGCACTGAGCCGAGATCGTGCCACTGCACTCCAGCCTGGGCAACAGAGCAAGACTACTTCTTAAATAAATAAATAAATAAAACTACATACCTTCCTTTATGCTCTTGTTCCCCCTTCCTCCTGATTAAAATTACACACTATAATGGTGACCCAATAATTGACCATGTATATATGGCATATCTCTGGGGTTGGCAGAACAATAAAACAGAAGGAATCTGGGTCTAAGACAATCCCATAAAACAATCTCCCTGGAATAATGACCAACTTGTACTTTTACATGAGAAAAATAAATAGTAGATCTATATTAAAAGAATCAAGGGCCAGCACAGTGGTTCATGCCTATAATCCCAGGGCTTTGGGAGGCCAAGGCAGGATTATTTGAGCCCAGGAGTTCAAGATAAGCCTGGGCAACATAGTAAGACTTCATCTCTACAAAAAAAAAAGATTAGCTGGGCATGGAGGTGCACATCTATGGTCCCAGCAACTCAGGAGGCTGAGGCAGGAGACTCACTGGATTTTAGGATATCAAGGCTACAGTGAGCCATGATCACACCACCGTATTCCAGCCTCGTTGACAAAGCGAGACCCCATCTCAAAACAAAAACAAAACGAAACAGCCAACCCAACATTCCATTAGAGATATATGTAAATGAAAGTTATAATGAGGTTATTTCTAACCTAAGCAAATGTTCCTTCAAAACCAAAATGAGTAACTTCTCCCTCCAATATAAAGGTTTACCACAGAGTTACAGTAATTAAGTAAGCATGCTACTGACAGTGGGAAAGACCATAGGTCTACTAACTGAAAACAAACTAGAGGACTGAGAAACAGACCCACATAAATATGCTCAATTGATTTTTGACAAAGGTACAAAACCAGTTCAGTAAAGAAAGGATGGTGCTGATGCAACTGAAAATTCAAAGACATATAAATAAACCCCTATCTAAACCTCACTCCTTAAGTAAAAAATTAATTCAAAGTGATGACATACTTCAGCATAAAATGAAAAACACTAAAACTTTTAGATTAACCCAATTTTTTAAATGAGCAAAAGACATATGCAGTTCACTGAAGAAATAAAAATGGCAAATAAGCACATAAAAAGATGTTCAACATCATTAGCCAATAAGGAAACACAACTTTAAAACCACAATGAGATGGCAGATTGCTAATTAAAACTACACATCTATCAGAATGGCTAAAATAAAAAACAGTGACAAAACAAAATGCTGGGAAGATGTAAAGAAGCTGGATCACACAGTCATCATTGGATAGGGATGTAAAATGGTATGGCCACTCCTGAAAACAGCTTGGTAGTTTCTTGAAAAAAAAATAATAAACATGCAACTACCCTATGACCCAGCAATTGCACACCTAGGCATTTATCCTGAAGAAATGTTCACACAAAAACCAGTACACAACTGTTCAGAGCAGCATTATTTGTAATAGCCCAAAACTAGAGTAATCCCAAATATTCTTCCATAAGTGAGGGAATTAACAAACTGTAGTATATGTATACAAGGGAATACTACTCAGCTGGAAAAGAAACAAACTACTGATACATGCAACAACTTGAATGAGTCTCCAGAGAATTATGCTCAGCAAAATAAGTCAACCTCAAAAGCTTACATACTGTATGATTTCACTTATTTAACATTTTTGAAATGACAAAATTTTAGAAATGTTATCCCTAGCCCCTGGAAAAGAGGGAGGAGAAAGGAACATGGTAGGGAAGTGGGTGTGGTTGTAAGAGAGCAACACGCCAGATCCTTGTGGTATTGGAACTGTTCACTTTCTTGACCATGGTAGTGAACACACAAACCTACAAAGGTGATGAAATTGTATACAACTTAATACACATACACACAAATGAGTACAAGTAAAACTAGGAAAATCTAAAATTTTTAAATGAAAACATATGCCAACCATACTATTTACTATTAAAATAATAAGTTAATAATAAGTTAATATTAAAATAATAAGTTAAACTCACCAATGAGTTCCCATCACATTTAGAATAAAATCCAGACTGCGTGGTCCCTAAAACCCGACAGGGTGATTGATGTCTACCTCTATGACTTACAAACATTTATTGTGCTTCAGCTATTCTAGTCTGTTTGTATCCCTGTATACTGCCAAAACTGTTCCTACCTCAAGGCTCTTGCACTTGTCTACATAAAACGCTCTTTTCACAAATACATGCATGATTCACTCCCTTACATCATTCACAAGTTAGCTCACATATAAACTCTCCAGAGAAAACTTTCCTAAAGTCCCTACTAAAACAGCTCTCCCCTCCTTCTGTTTCAAGCACTCTTCCTCAAACTTTTTTATTTTTCTTCTCTAGTATTTATCAATGACTGAAATGATATTTTTACTTGTTTACTATTTGTCTACCCCGTGAGGATATAAGCTCCATGAGACCAAAGGCTTTGTATGTCTTGTTTGCTATACTATCCTAGCACATAAAGAACATCTGGCACAGGGTAGGCATTCAAGTAAGGTACAATAAACGAATGCATGAATGTGTCAAGCACTTACTGTACACTGTGTTAAGTGCTTTTACATGCACTATCTCATTTAGTGCTCAGAACAATCATTGGAAGTAGATCCTATCAGTGTATCATTTAAGATAACAGTAAAGTTGCTGGGACAAAAGTAAAGTAATAGAAATTTTAACAAAAAGAGAAGCTTTTTTCTTTTTTTTTTTTTGAGACAGGGTCTTGTGTTGGCCAGGCTGGAGCACAATGGCACAATCACAGCTCACTGCAGCCTCAACCTTTCAGGCTCAAGCAATCCTCCCTCCTCGGCCCAGGGACCACAGGCTCATGCCACCACACCCAGCTAATTTTTTTTTTTTTTAATCTTTTGTAGAGACAGGGTCTTGCCATGTTGTCCAAGATGGTCTCAAACTCCTGGGCTCGAGCAATCCTCCCGCCTTGGCCTCCCTAACTACTGGGATTACAGATATGAGTGACCATGCTCAGCCCTTATTTCTTTTGTGAAACAATCTGAGTCTAAAGTATCCAGGGCTGACATGGTGCCATCACAGTACTGAGGACCTAGGTGCTTTTTATCTTGCTACTCTATCATCCTCAGTATGCAGCTTTAATTTCAGAATCTAAAATGGCAGGTCCAGCCCATATCATTGTATTCACTTTCCAGCCAGAAGAAAGAAGAGAAGAAAAGAAGGCAGGCATGCTCTTTTGCTTTTAAAGTCATAGCCCAAAACATCACATAAAGGTCTGCTCCCATCCCAGTAGACAGAACCTAGTCATACGACTATCCCTTAAATGTATAGTCTTTATTTCTGTTACAGAAATTTCTATTACTGTGAAAAAAAACTGGATATTGAGGAGACAATTAGCCATCTCTGTCACAATAACTAAACTTATTATGGAGACAGAGAAATGAAATATCAAAGATGTGAATTAAATTTCTTAAGGATACTAAGAAGTGAGGGTCAAATTTTAAACCATAGTCTGACTCCACAGGGTGAGTTCTTCATTATGTTATACTTCCTCATTACACTATTATGCTCTACTCTAGAATTGCTTTACTTCTTTAAAAAGGAATTTGTATTTTATGAAGCGATGACAACCATAGCTATCTACCATGTAGAAAAAATTAGTTGTACAGCAATTTTTTTAAAACCAGTAGTGCCTAAGTTTTCTTGAATGTTAAATTTGTGTTATTTAGAGCCCAACTTTATATCTGGCTCCTTACAATCCATTAATGTGAAAACAAAGTAGTCATATTTACAAGTATCCACTAGAAAAAGTTTAAAAAAGGTATAGCAATAAAATACTGACAAATACTGGCAAATAAAGTACTTGTGCAATAACTTTCAAATCTTGACCTCTCCAACTTCTACACACAAGTTTATTCCTTAAATAAACAGCTACATATATCAAAGTCCTTGCAAACAGGCAAATTACACTAAAAAGGTAAAGTTAGCAAGACAACACAAATTGCATTATATAATTATTCAAAACAAATGGCAATAGATTCAGAATTAATCCAGAAACAAACCTGATTTTAGCCTGCTATATGGTTCATATTCATGTTCCAAGGCACACACAATCATTTTCAAAATCCTATGCACCGCACTGCTATCCAAACGAAAATCAAGAGGACCTATAACAAGACTTTTGGTGGACTTCTCCTGAACTGTTCCCAAATCTTCACTTTTCCCTGAAGAAAAGTCTTGTTGATTTGTGGAACCTAAAAGAAGTCAAAATTTACATTTTAAGCATCAATTGGACATACCAAGTATATATTTTAAGATCACTCTTATCTCATTTTTATAGCTTGTAGCCTAACGCCTCAAAACAAATTCCCAATCAGCTGCATACAGACAGCCCGGCCGATGTGTATTTCTTTACGCATATAATAAATTACTGATAAAAAGCAATTCATTAAATTAAAAGTTATTCCTGTTATTTAATATTATAACGAGCAATATAAAATCAAAACTGTCATTCTTAGAAAATTATTCTGCAAAACCTAATTGACTTGTATCTAGTAATTCTATACACAACATGCATTGACTGAGAGGGTATACTTTGGAGGAAACTCTATTTTACTAATTTACCTTACAAAGTCTATTGAAAATTGGGTTATTTAAGTAACATGATCACAGGGTGCCTTAAGAGTTTTATAATGACCATGGAAATGAACAGTAGGTATTACATGCTTTGAACTTTTCCTAGAATAAATTCATTATGGCAATGTTCCATGGTACAGAATCCTACTTCCTAGATTCGTCATCTCCTCATACACTGTTTTCTAAATAAGATATTAGCCCCACCTATAGGCATGTGTCATTATCTAACATGTACAACCTCTTATATGAGAGTTTTTTTGTACACATGAATCCATTATTATAAGTGATAAAAATGATTTTTAATTTATAATGCATTTTGTTTATTCAGACAAAAAGAATAAAGATTTTTCCAGGATTTAATTACCTTTAGAAACTAGAAAGGCCTACTTATACACAAAACTTTTATATCTATACCTTCTCATACTTTTATACAAAAATACATTTCCATTATTTCATGCAAAAGAGTATAGTTCAATCTTTAGTCTTCATCACATGAACAAAAATTAATTAGATTTTTTTTTTTTTTTTTTGAGACAGAGTCTCAGTCGCCCAGGCTCGAGTGCAGTGTGGCATCATCTCGGCTCACTGCAAGCTCCACCTCCTGGGTTCACGCCATTCTCCTGCCTCAGCCTCCAAGTAGCTGGGACTACAGGCGCCCGCCACCACGCCCGGCTAGTTTTTTGTATTTTTAGTAGAGACGGGGTTTCACCATGTTAGCCAGGATGGTCTCGATCTCCTGACCTCGTGATCCACCCGCCTCGGCCTCCCAAAGTGTTGGGATTACAGGCATGAGCCACCGTGCCCAGCCAAAATTTAATTAGATTTATTACTCACATATTTTTAACCAGATGACTCAGTGCAAAGATTATTTTAAAGTTTGACTACGTAATACAACTAAAACTCTGTAAGCCCATAGATTTAAATGTCACATCAAATAAAACATACAATGTTAATCTTACACATATTTTAAAAGATGTATGATCAATACTGACTCACATTAGGAATTAGGTATAAATAACTTACAATTCACATCAAAACCATTACTTTTCATAGCTGAAACCATTACATTTCTAGAGTTACGTGTAAGACAGAATGAGGTAACTTAAAGGTAGAAGAACTTCGGTTAAAAATCAAAATATTCAAAAAGCAAGAAAAATGCCCTGCTATGGGTCCTTTAGGGATAACAGGCTTCCTAAACAATGTCACTATATAAAAAGACTCTTCTTTTAGACACCAAATTGTCTCTAAAATAATAGAGGCCAATGCCCCCCATAATGAAAACTGAATATAATGCAGTTTAAATTTAGATACCAATGGCTTGTCTGAAATGTAAAAACATAACTGGCTTTTAGCCATATATTTTCAGCTATTTACTTGTGCCCACCTTTCCTGCATCTGGCCAATCCAGCTCCCTGAATGTTTGGCTGCTCTTATTAAGAGTCAAGACTCTCTCAACTCTTGCCCTTCAATTCAATAACTTAATTGTTTCAGATTTATCTCCTATTGTATCTCTAAAATTGGTTATCTCTAAAATCTTCCTATTGTACATTACAATTTCAGCTATCTACTTTAGGGTCCATAACATCTGTAATAACCCCCTTAAACAGAAAAGACTAGAAAGGTAGTCATTGCAACAATAACAAATATTTACATAATTATATTAAGAACAAATATTTCAATTTAGTTTTTAAAACATCACTTGCTTTCAAGTACCATAAAAAAAAATAAAATAATTGTCAGAAGATGCTTATCTTGTGGAACACAAGGTTCAAACTTTTACTGGTGTCTATAAGAAGCTCATGGGGAAAAGATGTTGATTTTTCCAGAGTTTCAGTTGTAAACAAAAATGACTACATAAAGTATACTCACAGAGAAGAAGGAGGAGGAGGAGGAGGAGGAAGGGGAGAAGGAGGGGGAGGAGGGGGAAGAGGAGGAAGGGGAGAAAGGGGAGGAGGGGGAGGAAGCAGCAGCAGCAGCAAGAAGAAAGGAGGAGCAGAAGGAGGAGAAGAAGAGAAGCAGCAGCAGCAGCTTATCATCAGTGTGAAATAGTAGCACAGGAAACTTAATCTTTATTTATATGCCATAGTATAATGTGAACAAGGTACTATTATATCATTTATTACAAGAAAAATAAATAATATAAGCTTCCTTTATTACTGTATTTACTAGTTTCTTTTCTTTCTTTTTTTTTTTTTTTTTTTTGAGACCGGAAGTTTTCCACTCTTGTTTGCCAGGCCCCCCCTGGAAGTGCCAGTGGTGGTGATCTCACGCTCACTGGCAATCGTTCCACCTTCCCCAGATTTTCAAAGTGATTCCTCTGTTGCCTCCAGCCTCCAGTTAGCTGGGCGGAATTAAACAGGCACTGCACCCCCCAATCCAACTAATTTTTGTAATTTTTTTGTAAGGAGAAGGGGGTTTTCCCACACCCAATGTGTTCCAAGGCCCTGGTTCAAAACTCCCCCTTGACCGTCAAGTGGTCCTGGCCACATCGCCCTCCCAAAGGTGCCTGGGGAAAATTCACAGGGTGGTGGGGGAGCCACCGTTCCGCACCTGGGGGGGACACTTAGATTCTCTTAATTAATATTCAGAATACTAACGTCAATGAAAACTGTACTCTAAAATATAAAAATCAATCCACCTTTCCAAAAAACTATCCCAGGATCCCACTTACCAAACCTTTTTTTGGTAAAAATATTGGAACTCAGTTAATTGGTGTTTTTTAGATATTTAAACTTTAAGAATAAAGATTTAGCGGGCATTTTTTTTGGATAATGTAACCTATAGCGAAACAAAAAAAAAGTTTGTCACAAAAAAAAACAAGAGTTTTTACATACAAGTTTTTTTTTTAAGTATTTCAAGTATCTCTTTAATAGGAACTCACTGCTTTTTTCCCCTAGTTTTTTCAATTCATATAAAAATTCCTAACGAATTTTCCTTGTTTCAGGCGTAAGCCAAGGAAAGAAAGAAAAGAAAATATCCAAAAACAGAAGGCCTGGGCACAGTGGCTCATGCCTTTGGGTAATCCCAAGCCAACCTTTTTGGGAAGTCCAAAACGGGCCGGATCATGAACGGTCAGGGAGAATCGAGAAAACCCATCCCCTGGCCTAACCTAACAAGGGAGAAACTCTTTTAACCTAAAAAATGGCAAAAGTTAGCCCCGGCGGGCATGTAGGGGGGGTGCCTGTAATCCAAGCCCTACTTGGGGAGGCTGAGGGGCAAGAAAGAAATGGCAATGAAACCCCCTGGGGGCGCGGGCTTTGGGCAAGTGAGCAGAAGGATTGCACCCACTGCCACATCCCCAGGCTGGAGGCAACAGAGCAAGAAACTCGGGTCCTCAAAAAAAAAAAAAAAAAGAAAGAAAGAAATATCAACAGAGTAGTTATGAATGTAGGCTCTAGAGCTGGATAGGTTGGGTTCAAATCCCACATACTATGCATGACCTTGGTCCTTGTTACTTTACTTGTATTGGGTTTGCTATTTCCTCATCTTTAAATGGGGATAATTTTACCTACCTTATAGGGATATGAGAATTAAATAAGCTAATACTGTAAAACACTTAGAACAGAGTCTTACATTTAAAATCAATAAAAATTAGCTATTATTATCACCATGATCATCATCATCCTATAAGTAAATATGGATTCATAACGAGACATAAACATATAAACACAGTTACCTAAAAAGCAAGCAATAAATTAACAATTATTTGAATGAATTAACATATTTTAAAGTATATTTGACATTCACAAATTAACAGTGGAATTTTATTATTTTATTGTTTCCACCCTCTCCCCCCCAAAAAAACTCAGCTTGCAAAATTAAGAAAGTAGATGCATAAGCGGCAAACCAAAAGCAAGACAGTGGTTCTCACAAATCTCAAAACAGCAGTCTCCTCCAGTAAAGGAGGAAGAGTGTGGTAGAAAAGAAACACATAGGAGGCTTACTGGATACTAACAATGTCCTATTTCTTGGTGTGCATGGAGAATACACAGGTGTTCAGTTTTAAATTCTTTGCTGTTCTGTACATGTGTAATATTCCAATATTTTGTTTTAAAAGTTAAGGACTATGGTATCTGTAACACTGTATACTATTCATGGAAGTGAAAAATATGAAAAACCCCAAAGTTAACAAACTACTGGCTTCTCAGAAGTAATATATAAACAATCTAACAAACATAAATCATGTTTCTATCTTTTAAAAACTGCAGGAGAGGCATATAAACAAATAAAGATGTTCTGTGCTAGGTTTCCTTTGCTTGAAAGATGACTACTAGATATTCCACCTCCTCACAAGATATGGAATCCACAGCACATGCATAAGACATTATATTGAACAAGAGGAAACCTACCAGCTTACAAGTGGCAACTACAACACTATAATAATTTGCAACACTATTAGAACATTAGACTTCTGAGTTGCACTTTCATATATATAATTAGCTAAGGAATATTCACACTTCAATGCCCACAGTTATCTCAAAACTCATCTTTCCCTCCAAAAATTTTCCTTTCTTATCTAGCTTTCTTAATAGTTACCACTATCCACCAAGTAACTCAAGACCAGAATCTAGTAAACTATTTAAATTTTGTTTTTAAATAAATCAATGTCAGGCCCATGAAAATTGTCAGCAGAGAATTAAATTCTGTGATTGCAGTAGAAACTATAGGACTACAGTGAAAGCAGGAAGACCAGTAAGAAAGCTTTAGAACCTAACTGGGTGTGGTGGCTCATGCCTGTAATCCCAGCACTTTGGGAAGCCAAGGTGGACGGATCACTTGAGATTAGGAGTTCAAGTCCAGCCTGGCCAACATGGCAAAACCCCGTCTCAACTAAAAATACAAAAATTAGCCAGGCATGGCAACACATGCCTGTAGTCCCAGCCACTTAGGAGGCTGAGGCATGAGAATCGCTTGAACCCAGGAGGCAGAGGTTGCAGTGAGCCGAGATCATGCCACTGCACTCTGAGCAACAGAGCAAAACTCTGTCAAAAAAAAAAAAAAAAAGGGCCGGGCGCGGTGGCTCAAGCCTGTAATCCCAGCACTTTGGGAGGCCAAGACAGGTGGATCACGAGGTCAGGAGATCGAGACCATCCTGGCTAACACGGTGAAACCCAGTCTCTACTAAAAAATACAAAAAACTAGCCGGGCGAGGTGGCGGGCGTCTGTAGTCCCAGCTACTCGGGAGGCTGAGGCAGGAGAATGGCGTAAACCCGGGAGGCGGAGCTTGCAGTGAGCTGAGATCCGGCCACAGCACTCCAGCCTGGGCGACAGAGCGAGACTACGTCTCAAAAAAAAAAAAAAGCCATTAGAACCTAGAGATGATGGTACCTATGAACTAGATGCTAGTCCATATGGTAACAGTGATACCACTGTTATCATCTGTGGACCAGATGGCTAGGAGCAAAGGAAAAAGTGTGTCATGATGACTCCCAGGTTTCTGGCTTGAGCAACAAGAAGATGATAGTACAATTTTCCAAGAAGAGAAGCCTAAAAATAGAGAAGCAGAGGTAGTAAGTGGTCACAGGAATATTTATTAATAACTTAATTTTGGACAAAATCAGTTTTGAGATACCCAAGACAGACACAGAGGTAAAAACGTCAAGTATGCATTGGATATTTAATTCTGAATCTTAGAGAAGTTTGGACTAGAAAATGCAAATCTGGGTATCAACAACACATGGAAAGTACTTAAATCCATGGAAAAGAATGAAATTACCTTGGGAGAAAGTTTAGGGAAAGAAATTAAGGATTGACCGACGAAAACATCAACATCTAGAAACCATTCCAAAAGCAGAAGCCAGAAAATTACTGCTCTTTCCTTCTTTCTTCATCAAAAACAAATTTACTTCAAGATCAACTCTGAGAAGTTTCGACCTCTTAAGCAAAAGCTGTCATTTTTTTTTTTTTACCCACACTTCTTCTAGTTCTCTATATTACTCTTCTTAGCAAACTAAATTATAATCATTTACTTAAATGCCTAGTTCAACACCACCTATTGGCTCCTTAGGAAATGTTTTGGTTTTCACTGTATTCATCTGTACCTAACATATCACCTAATATACTGAAACCATTTTTTAAAAACATGAAAAATTCACCAAAAAAAAGTGAACCTATCTTCACTAACTTTTCAACATAAAAAAGACTGAAATAGTAAGTACAACATTATATGTTGATATAGAAGGAAAAAAAAAAAAAGGAGAAATTTTTTAAATGTCATTTATTTCCAAAAAATATAAAATAAAACAATAATAAGATACATAATAAAATAACACAATCTATGCATCTAAAGTCTCTGGAAGATTTTCTATTTTTCTGATTGATACAACACATTCTTTTTAATTAAAAATTAGTACCACCTTCAAAATGTATTTAGAATAGAAAAGGTTTATTCTTTTTAAAAATGTAATGTAATATAAAATTTGATATATCAGAATCATAATATATGGTACATATGAGAACTAATTCTAATAGGTTATATAAAATGTCTTCAATCAGCTATATAAAGAACGGATTTGAAATGACAAGAATCTAAGACAATTCTAACGTGACGCTAAAATTAAACCACTCCCCAAAGCACTAGAGGTAAATCTTATGTAGCAGAGTACAACCAGTCAAGGACGAACTGATTCTGAGGAAGGCTTTGTTTCAGTTGTTCAAGAAATGACAAACGTAAAGGAAAGAAGCCAATACCTTTGCCACTAGTGTTCTCCATTGTATACAGGTAATCCATATAAAAAGCCCCAAACCGTTGCATTCCAGCTATCTCAGTGTATGTCTCCTGTCAACGAAGCAATGCAAACAGAACAAACATTGTATAAAAGAAACTTTTGAGTTTAAAGCTTGATAGGTTAGACACATACCCTTATATAGAATGTATAACAACACAAAGGATTACCAAAAGAACTGAGATTATTCTAAGAATTTACTTCTAAGAAAGGTAATATTACATCTATTATAGACCACACAAAAAGGACATCCATAATTTTATGAGACATTTTGACCACTTTATTAATTACATCTAGTTAATAAATAACTACAATAGACGAGATAGTACACTCCTGACCTTTATCACTATCACTAAACTGTCTAATAATGTATACTCTCAAGTAGAATTAATCCTTAAATACTTCAATACACTTACATGAAACAATTCAAACACTAAAGATATACTAAAATATTCTAAATGTATGTCAACTATGCAAGTCAACATTAAGTATTTTAACAATGAAAGTAAATCTTGGTAAAAAGGAGTAAAATGTAAATTATCCTATTGCACTAATCTTCAGGTAATTATCTGAATTTTTAACTGATTTCATAAATGTATTAATATTCCATAAACATATTAATATATTCTTACATTTAAAAAATACTAAGAAACATACATAGTATAAGGGTAAATTCCTCATTTCTTCCCATCAATCCCACATATTAAAAGTAACAAAAATTAACAGCGGTAATTCAACATGTTTCTTCCATGATTATTTTTGAAGCAGGGCATAAATAAGCAAAATATGTTTACATACTAAATAAAAGTAAAGATCTCTGTGCACTCCTCAAACATTTCTACATGTACACGCTGTATAAATGCACTCTAAATGTTTTAATAAACAATTAGCATTCAGAAGGTATTATTTGAAAAGAAAGCTAGAAATCACAAGTATTCACACAACGTGTCCACCCAAACATAGCCTAGAATTTGGTTCAAATATATATTCTCTGACCTTATGATGAGTTGAATCCAAGATAAACTCTGCACGAGTACCATTATTTTCTGGGCTTCGGTAATCAAACAATGAATTTGTAAGGTATGTGAAACCTTTAGTACTCAAATTTTCACCACAAATGAAGAAACAGGCTTCCTGAAAACAAATGCAAAATTTATAACATGAAGAAAAACCATTAGCCTGTTAAACAAAATAAAACCTTGATTTTATGATGCCCATTTACCAGTCAAAAGAAATCACTAAAACAGAAAGATAAGGAATGCTGCTACTCCATTGCATTGACTATTTTGGCTAAGAATATTTTAACAAACCAAAAGGAAACTCCAAATAACTGCCATAAACAAAAAAGAAGAAACATTCATGAATTAGAAAGTAGTTGGAACTACTGTCCAGGTGTTAGGTGCTACCAACTTTCTAAACTCCCCTGAGCTGTATAATTTCTTGCAGGGGAAACACAGGGAGAAATAGTAAAGCTCCTCTCTCAAGCCTGAGATATATATAGTCTAACAGATATCATATGGTTAAACACTTCAATAAGCACTTAATTATTCCTATATCCTATCCAAAAACGGGTGGAGGTAAGGGACTTACAGTTTGACTTCTATTCATATTCTCTTCAAAATCTTTAACACCCATAATTCCTTTAAGGCACATGGCTCTGCAACCAACAAACCCAATCTGGCAATCAAAGAAAGGTTCTCCCATCATAAGGGCCTATAAGAGGAAAGGAAATATTAGAACTAAGAAATCGAATTTAATAAAAATGTTAGAGGATTTCCTCTTAGAATCTCTAAATTAGTTAAACATCTTTAGAATTATGTCATTTCTAAATTTATTCTATACTATTTATTTATACTATCTAAGGGATAGTAAACTCTATTAAAATAAGAAACATCTTCCTTGTATTTTTAAATATACTACATCTGATAAAAACACATACTTATAAAATATTAAACAAAGAACATAATATTTAAAAATACAGGTTCAATATTGAAAGATTACCTCAACTGTAGTTCCTTCTTGTTCCCAACACAATACTTCTTTAGATTTTACTTTCTGTGGACTGTAATAACTACTCTCAGCTTGCATTTCTGTGAGCTAAGAAATATAAGAATATTAAGTAAATCAAAATTAGTATTAAAGAGCAATAAAGTGTCATTGTTATGATTAATTGATTAAAACAAGGCCAATTTTAAGATTCAGGAAACTTAATTATTAAGCAGGAAAGCAGGTGCAACAAAAACAGCTGTAACAGATTATCTATGGTATAAAGGTTGAATATGCTAGTCTCAACATATATAGAGAATTTAAATACTTTTTAAACTCCTTCCTAATATTGTTTTAAAAAGTGAAAGCTATGTGCAATAACAGTCCCATACTCATAAAATAATTCATGTATTCTGCCAAAAATTTACATAGAGTATAACCTCAGTTCATTTTATATTCACTAAAACATTCAACAATGTGTAGTTTCAGTCATTTCCAAGACTTCTCACTATTTGAAATAAAAAAGAAAGTGGTGATGAAATGCAAAAAGCTAAAATAGGCTCTTTCTAGTTCCTATGAAGGAAATAGAATGAAGGATATTCTTTTCAAAATATGTTTCCTACTAAATCTCATAGACTCATTCAATCATGCAACAGATACTTTTTGAAGGCCAGCTAGATAAGTAGGGGCAAACCTCATTGTATTGCACTCTACTTTATTTCACTTCACAGATACTGCAATTTTTACCAATTGAAAGTCTGTAGCAACCCCGCGTTAATCAAGTCTGTCAGCACCATTTTCCCAATAGCACATGCTTACTTTGTGTCTCTGTGTCACATTTTGGTAATTCTCCCAATAATTCAAAATTTTTCATTATTATTATCTGTTATGGTGATCTGTAATCAGTAATCTTTGATGGTACTATTGGAATTATTTTGGGCACCATGAACATGTCCATTTAAGACTGAGAACTTAATAAATGTGTGTGTTCTGACTGCTCCACTGTCTAGCCATTCCCCTCTCCCTTCTTGAGCCTCCCTATTTCCTGAGACACGACAATATTGAAATTAGGCTAATTAGTAATATTACAATGGTCTAAGTATTTAAGTGAAAGGAAGAGTCCCTGTCTCTCACTTTAAATCAAAAGCTAGAAATGATTAAGCTTAGTAAGGAAGGGATGTAAAAGCCAAGACAGGCCGAAAGGTAGGCATCTTGAGCCAAACAGTTGGCCCAGTTATTAATGCAAAAGAAAAAGTCTTGAAGGAAATTAAAAGTGTATACACAAGTGATAAAGAAGTAAAACAGCCTGTTGATATGGAGGAATTTTGAGTGGTCTGGATAGACAATCAAACCAGCCACAACACTCCCTTAAGCTAAAGCTGAATCCAGAGCAAAGCCCTAACTCTTAAATTCCATGTAGGCTAATAGACATAAGAAAGCTGCAGGAGAAAAGTCTGACAGTAGCAGAGGTCTGTTCATGAGCCTTATGGAAAGAAGACGTGTCCATACCATAAAAGTGCAAGATAAACAGCAAGAGTTGACGTAGAAGCTGCACACAGTTACCCAGAAGACCTGGCTAAGATAATTAACAAAAGTGGCTACACTAATCAACAGAATTTCAACATAGACCAAAGAGCCTTCTCCTGGAAGAAGATGAGATCTGAGCTAGACAGAAGTCAGTGCTTGGCTTCAAAGCTTCAAAAGACAGGCAGATGCTCTTGTTAGGGGCTAACATATCTGGTAACTGTAAGTTGAAGATAGAGTCCATTTACCATTCTGAAAATCCTAGGGCCCTTAAGAATCATGCTAAATCTACTCTGCTTGTGCTCTATGAATGGAATAAAAAAATGACTGAATGACAGTACATCTGTTTATGGCATGGTTTACTAAATATTTTAAGCCTATGGAAACCTATTGCTCAAAAAAAAAGGACTCCTCTTAAAATATTAGTGCTCACTGACAATGCACCTGGTCACCCTACACCTCTGATGGAGATATACAAGGAGATGAATATTGTTTTTCATGCCTGCTAAAATGACATCCATTCTGCAGCCCATGGATTAGGAGTAACGTTGAAGTTCAAGTCTTATTATTTAAGAAATACATTTTGTAAGGCTATAGCCACCATAGATAGTGATTCCTAGGCAAAGTAAATCAAAAACTTTTTTGAAAGGGTTCACCATTCCAGATTCCATTAAGAACATTCGTGATTCATAGAAGGAGGTCAAACGATCCACATTAACAAGAGCTTGAAAGAAGTTGATTTTAACCCTCCCGGATGACTTTGGGGTGTTCGAGACTTAGGTGGAGGAAGTAACTACTAGAGAATTAGATTTAGAAATGGAGCCTGAAGAGGACTTGCTTCTTATGGATAAATAAAGAAAGTGATTTTTGAAGATGGAATCTACTCGTGGTGAAGATGCTGGGAACATTGTTGAAATGACAATGAATTTAGAATGTTCTGTATATTTAGTCGATAAAGTAGCAGTAGTGTTTGAAAATGACTGACTTCAATTTCGACAGAGGTTCTACTCTGAGGCCAGACACGGTGGCTCACGCATGTATTGCCAGCACTTTGGGAGGCCAAGTCAGGTGGATTACTTGAGGCCAGGAGTTTGACACCAGCCTAGCCAATGTGGTAAAACCCCATCTCTACTGAAAATACAAAAATTAGCCAAGCGTGGTGGTGCATGCCTGTAGTCCCAGCTACTCGGGAGGCTGAGGTGCAAGAATTGCTTGAACCTGGGAGGCAGAGGTTGCAGTCAGCCGAAATCATACCACCACACTCCAGCCTAGGTGACAGAGAGAGACTCTGTCTCAAACAAAAATAGTCCTACTCTGAGTAAAATTCAGTCAAACAGCATCCCATGCTACACAGAAATCTTCCATGAAAGAGTCAATTAATGTGGCCCACTTCACTGCTGTCTTATTTTGAGAAACTGCCTCTGCCACTCCAACCTTTAGCAACCACCACCCTGATCAGATAGCAACCATCAATACTGAGTCAAGACCCTCCACCAGCAAAAAGTTATGACTTGCTAAAAGTACAGATGATTGTTAGCATTTTTTACCAATAAAGTACTTTTAATTAAGGTATGTATAGTGTTTTTAGACATATTGTTGGACACTTAAACTACGGTATTGTGCAAACATAACTTTTTATGCATTGGGCAAAACAAAAAATTTCTGTGACTCGCTTTATTGCTATATTCGCTTTATTGCAATGGCATAGAACCAAATCCACAATATCTCTGAGGTATACCTGTACTAATCTAGATACTAACAAAACAAAAAATTCTTACTCCCCAGATGCTTACAACAAATTATATGTTTCAAAAATTAAATAAATTATTTTTCAAAAGTACTATTTTAAATGCAACATGGTATCCTGGTTTGAATCATGGTGAAGAAAAAAGATATCATGAAATTCAATTAATGTTTAAAATTTAAGAGTAAAGCATCAATGAAGGTTTCTTAATTTTGACAAATATGCTGTGATAACATAATAATAAGGGAAACTGGGTAAGGATTATAAGGGAACTCTCTACTATCTTTGCATCCTGTCTGTAATTCTAAAATTATTCCAAAAAGAAAAAGTTACTTTTAAAAAACCGTATTCAGCCTGTGTTTGCCAATTATTTACTTCCCCTCGTTCTTAGGAAATAGATATATTCATCACTTTTAAATGCAAAGTCAAAGCTCACTTTTTAAGAAAACCAGTATTTAACTTAGGCCCAATAAAAGTTCTTGAACTAAAAGTTACAATTTTAAGCACAGTGACTTCTCTATATTGAGTATCAACTGATTATTCTCATTATTTATAATAAAGCTTTTTATATTTTATATTTTTATGTAATGTAGGCTCCTATTTCTTGGATGTTTCTAGTACTTAAATATACAATGTAGCTATTTTAAAGTACAATTCTGTCATCTAGAATGATTATTGAAGTAAACTTGAATTTTTTTAAATTGATCCCTCTTCAGCTGTCTACAATTATTAGAGAGAAAAAGCAATTAATTGATTAAAAGGACTCCTGTGGTGGCTCACACCTATAATCCCAGCACTTTGGGAGGCCAAGGCAGGCGGATCACGAGGTCAGGAGATCGAGATCATCCTGGCTAACACGGTGAAACCCCGTCTCTACTAAAAAAAAATACAAAAAATTAGCCGGGCGTGGTGGCGGGCGCCTGTAGTCCCCGCTACTCAGGAGGCTGAGGCAGGAGAATGGCGTGAACCCGGGAGGCGGAGCTTGCAGTGAGTCGAGATTGCGCCACTGCACTCCAGCCTGAGCAACAGTGCGAGACTCCGTCTGAAAATAAAAAAAGACTCGAACATTACAAGAACTATTTTAAACATTATTAGAAAAATGCTAGATTTAATTTGGCATGATTTTTGCTGGACTGATATCAACTGTTCGAAATGCTAATGTAGAAACATGATCTTGTTTTCTTAACCAAAATATGAACCAGAAATTAATTCCAAACATTCTTCGAATCCAAGCTGAACAATGAATTCTAATGCTTTCCTCCTTAATATCAAGGTATCTCCCTAAGAGAAAACTTTAAGAAACATAAATGTTCTAAAATTATAAAAAGATGTTGACAAATACTGCCCAAAAAGTCTATAAAAGTTTTATACACAAACGACTATTTTGTTTTGTTGTTGTTTGCTTTTGTTTGTGTTTTTCACACAAGGTCTTCCTCTGTCGCTCCAGCTGCAGTGCAGTAGCAAGATCATGGGTCACTGCAGCCTAAAACCTCCAGGGCTCAAGAAATCCTTCCACTTCAGTTTGCAAAGTAGCTAGGACTACAGGTGCACACTACTGCACCTGGCTATTTTTTTTTAATAAAGATGGGGTCTCACTATGTTGCCCAAATTGGATAAATGCCTATTTTGACTTATTCAGTTGAATATAATTCCTCCCAACAATCAAGTTAACAGAAATGTGTCAGAATAATTTCAAATTTAAAAGTAAACAGGCAAAAATCACCAAAAAGGACAGTACCTAACTTGCAATCCTTGACTTCTCTCAAAAACTTCTACAAAAATAAGTGCTTTATTCTGATCATCTAAAACTGAAAATGTATCTTTTTTTTCTTTTTACAAAATG